AAATTAAAGTACGTAATTCTCTAAAACACTGTAAAAACTTTTATACCTTACAATTCAAAAAATTTTCGACTGTTATTAAATAAAATAATAAAAAAGAATAAATAGTTACTAAAAGTTATATTTCGCATGAAATTATCCTTAGAGAAACGAGTTGTATAAATGTGAACAATTTTTTTTTAAAATTTAGCTTTAAAAGTTCTTGAGATATTGAGATCTATTATAAGCATNAAAATATAACTTTTAGTAAATATTTATTAATTTGTTTAATAACAGTCGAAAAAGTTTTGTAATCAGGGCTGATTGTGCTCCGGAAAAAATCCAGACTTCCGGATTTTTCGCTAACAGTGATCCGGAAGTTTCCGGAGGTCGAAGGTCCAGACGTTTAAAAAAAATCATTGATCGCAGAAGGTTCCGAAAATCACATTTTCAAAGGTGGAACTTAAAAACACAGTTTATTTTATTTGTTTGTAAGGGAGAGCCAGATAATTTACAAGCTTATATTCATGGTTAATATCCTTTTTTTTTCCATCAGTAAATAATTATTATAACCATAAACTCAAGAAAGAAAGACATATTTGTAAATTTTAATTGCTTCTCCAGGTCATCATAGGTATGTGTAAATGGTATAGGAATGTGTAAAATTTTAAATATATTTTAAGTAAACCAAGAAATATTGAGAAAGGGAAAAAAAACTTGCTTAAATTTATTTCTAATTTTTCAATTTAAACTGTTTTTTTTTTCCAACTCAAGAAATTTTCCGGAATTTTGACTTGGGCTCACAATCACCCCTGTGTATTGTAAGGCACGCAATTTTTAACATCGATTTTTAACATTGTAATTTTAAATGGAAAATACAAAACTGGAACAAAATTGTTGAATAGTTTCTAAGAAATCGAATTTTAAAAGAATCGTATTTTTTAAGTTCGATTTCTCAAACGAGTTTCATAAATGTGAACAAAAATTTTTTGTCTTTAAATAAGCGAGTTTCTTAAATGTGAACATAAATTTTTTAATTTAGCTTTAAAAGTTCCTGAGATATGACGAAATACGCAAAAAGTGAAATCTACATTAAAGGGTCCAAAATTTGGGCCGCTCTCCTGACAAAACTATTGGGACCATATTTCCCAGAGTGCTGCTAACCCGTATGTTTTGAGGATCAGAAATCCAAATCCGACGGAAAAAAAAGGTATCTTTATTCAGAAAAAGTACGTATTTTTGTCTGATTTCCTAACTTACATCGTCTGCACTAATTAATTGGCATAATTGAGATCACCCCTACGAATCATTAAGATTGAGTCCTAGAACGGGAAGATCCGATCATTAGATCAAAAGTTATTTAGGGTGGTCTGTTTTTAATTTTTGCGCACTGTGCATCAACTGGATGAATATTCTTTATTACTTTCAGACATCGCCACAGAGACCAGATGTGATATAAGAGAACAAAATTATATGAATTATAGGAAAAGTTTCGAGAATTTTCTTTTTCCATATTCTTCAGAAACGATCATTGAGAAATTTGTAATTAAATACGATGTTGGATATTTTGATGTCAAAGACACTCCTAGTCCAAAAACGTGTTCGTATAATTAACTCTAATAATAATAATAATCGTTAAAATTTACACAATTTTAAATTAACTATGATATTGGACACCTTAAAACCAAGAATTCATCAAACCAATAAATTTTTTTTCTTAGAAAAACGCAAATAATTATAATTATGAAGATTAAAAGTCTATACAGTATTTAAATAAATACGATATTAGTTAAATGCTATCAACGAATCTCCAATTCCAAAAGTCTTCTAGTGAAATAAATGCAAATAATAATAATTATAAAAATTAAAAGTTTTCACACTATATAAATAAATACGATAATAGTTAGGTGATACCAAGGAATCTTCAAGCCCAAAAGTTAGTTCGTGGAACAAACGCAAATAATAATTAAAAGAATTAAAAATTTACACTATGTTAAATTAATACGATATTAGTTTAAAGATATCAAGGAATACTCTTACCCTAAAGTTTTCTCGAATTATTATAAACGCAAATAATAATATTTATAAAAATTAAAAGTTTACACAGCATTTAAATAAATACAATACCAGGCGTCTGTTTAGAAGAAATTTGGGTCCGTTAACGGACCCTTCACAAAATATCATTTCATAAAAACGGACCCTTCACAAATTTGTTTATCTTCATTATTGTTTTGTTAATCGAATAAACCCTTCCCAAGGAAAAAAAAAAAGAAAGATGGATGTAAACGAATTAAGTTTTGTCTTTGGCAGACGATTCGATTATTTGTCCGAAATGATTATTCAGCATTCAGCAGTATAGGCTAAATACCAAATATTTGTATGTTGCATCTCTAATTTGCTCAGCAATTGCAGTTTATTTTTGAAAATTTAATTTCCTTAAATTATAACTTTACAGTGTTGAGCATAATCTTGTATCTATTTACAATTTAAAAACTTCTTGAAAAAGTTTCGTGCAATAAGGACCCTATTTGCACAAATTCATAAAAGCTGGACCCTGGTTGAAAGAATGTGAATGACACTTTTACAAAAACGGACCTTTCACAAAATGTCTAGACAGGCCCCTGAGTACTAGCTAGGTGATACCAAGATATGTTCAAGCCCTAAAGTTTTCTCATAGAATAAACACAAATAATAAATAATAATTTTAAAAATTAAAAGTTTGCACGTTATTTAAGTAATTGCGACAGCAGTTAGGTTTTACCAAGGATTTATCCAGTCCGAAAGATTCCTTTTGCGATAATAATAATAATAATAAGCTAAAAATAATGATATACAAAACAAATTTACCCAATTTTGATTAAATACGGTAGATATTTTGATACCAATGATTTTTAGAGTCAAACTTTTCCTCAGAAAATGAGTGGTAATAATAATAATTGAAAGGTTTCGTCCATGAAATAAGCAATCCAAATTGAAGGCATAAATGGGAAAAGAAAGTTATTAAGTTATTAAAAAGCTTTATGGAAGTTATTAAGAAATGGAAGAATTGAAAGGAAGTTATTAAGAAATTTTTTTATGTTGATTGATTTTAACCTGCTATTATTTGTAAAGAAAATAATCACAAATGTACATTAGAAAAAGGGAAAAAAAAACATTTTATTAATCATTACTTTTATTTTTTCGACGGATTGCATAAAGACGATGCCGATCGTTGCAATTGTTGTATGTTCAAAATAACATTTAAATATCTGATTAATTTGAATAAAAATGAGAAACTAGAATTGACTAGTACCCCATAATCGCGTGAAACTTGATTTTGGTGCAGTAATAAAAATTAAGTTTCCGCGGTGTTTTCTTCTCATTCAAAAAAAGCTATCCAAGTCAATAGCATTTCCTTCATCGTGTATCATGATGCATTGCAGGAAAGCAATGTCGATTACATTTTCTTCAACGAATGTCATGATTATATTGCACAAAAGCAATGCTCATTGATCACACTTTATTATACCCCAGTATGATAGCATATGGCAGGGAAGCAATACTTGCCTATACTTTATTTTGTCTTATAACTAGCGTTAGACAGCCTACCCAATCTTGAGTTTGCGACTATCAATGTTCAACTCCGTAACTCCGTAGCCTTGTAATTTTGATCCAAACCCAGAAGACAAGGGATTCTGGTTTAAGTATTGGGACAAACTAGCCTTCGTGGAAGACTTTCTGATGGAACTAACCCCCATTTTCGTTACATGGGGAGGAAAATCACAGAAGCCTCCCACGACGGCAAAAGGATTAAAATCAGGGCTCGAAAAACAACCCGTCCGCCCGTCCTCGGTGGTCAAAAATTCCCTGCGGACAACGAATTTCTTGAATCCGACATCCGCGCGGACGGCCATTTTCCCGTTAATGTTCGTGTTACATTTCCAATTTTTGTTATCTTACAAGAGTCTAGCGCCTCACTTCTAAAATGACTCTCTAATTTAGAAATATAGCAACATACTGCGCATTGTGGAATTGATGTTTTCTCTGACTGGGAGTATTGCAGCAGTTGAAAGGGGCTTTTCAGCAATGAATTTACAAAAAACACATTACGTACTGGTCTTAAGCAAGAAACGTTAAACGCAATTATAAACATCTACCTAAATGGAAAACCCCTTTCAGACTTCTGTGCAGAAACCTACGTAAATCATTGGCTTAATTGTGGAACTGACTAACGTCATATTTGATTCATTCAAAAAACGCAGTACCCTCGAATAAATTGACATTCCAGATAACTTGACCTTTGTCACTTAAATTATTTCATAAAAGAAATACATACTAGGTTATTATTAGTAACCTAGTATTTCTTTAATTACTGTATAATGTAATCCTAGTATTTGCAATCCTAGTAACTACTAATTCATTGTGCAATTTATATAAATGTTTGTAATAAATAAGCGAAAATTATATTTTATTTATTTAGAAGCTACGGGTTAGGTTCAAAGGAGGACGGGTACATTGTTGGACAAGCCGTCCTCGGGGACGGGTAAAATTTCTGAGTTTTTTCGAGCCCTGATTAAAATCCATGATTCTTCTACTACTGAGGATATTTTATGTCAGCATTGTGGTCAGTGTAAACATAGAGCAGAATTTGTACCACCCAGCCACCGCTGGGATTCGAATATTTAATATTTTTTTATTATTATTTTATTTCACAATAATCGAAAAAAATTTGAATTGTAAGGTATACAAATTTTTCACATCATTTAAAAAAAATGTAATTATTAATGATAAAATACAAATTTTGAGCTAAATAGTTCGAAAGTTAGATTTCTCAGAAGCTACATTTTGAGGATCAGAAATCCGCATCCGTCGAAAAAAGGTATGTTTATTTAGATATCTGAATTCGTAAAGTAAAATGTCTTCTACACTAATTCATTAGCATATTTGAGATCAACCCTTCGAACCATTTTGCAAATTAGAGAAAATTATATATTTTCATAAAAAAGAAAAAATGAAAATTTTGAAGAAGTGAAAGAAATACTAACCTGGTCAAATTTGCAATTTCTTCCGTCAAGTATTCCAATTCATTTCCAGCCAAACAAAGCACTTCCAAGTAGGGGAACAGAGAAAAATCCAAAGGGATTGTCTTTAGTTCATTCACAGAGAGATTGAGCCTCGTCATGTGACGAAGCTCAGTGAGTTGAGCAATCGTGCCCGGCTCACCTCGACCGAGGAAATTGTGAGATAAATCCAATATTTTAAGGTGAACATTTTTGCGAACGTAATTCGGAAGGGCGACGAGCTCACGTCCCGTTAATTTCACTTCTTCGGGTCCATTTTGCACATGGTTAATATCCACAGATAAAATCCTGTTGTCGGTAGCAGGGCGGGAACTTCCGCTGGTAAATACAATGGTCATAATACTGATCACTATGTGCGGTCACCACAATAGATCCCTATTTCATTGTCAACACATTTCCCAATAGGGACAGGATATTAGAGGAGAGACACCTGTTAAAAAGAAATGTATTTAAAATCATCTATCTGAGAAAAAGTTTATTTGGAAAATATAATAAATTAATTTTAATGTGTAAATACACTACATAATTTGTTAGATCGTATTAGGATTGCTGTTTCAAAATATTAAAATATAAGATAGTTTTATAAATCATCTTATGTTTCTTAATGAGAAAAAAAATATGCCAAAATAATCTAGCCAAGAATACCAGAATATGGAAAAATTTACCGTGTTTCTGACTCTATGGGCACACCAAAAAGCTCTGTAATTTTCACCGAAGTGTTTAGTAATGATTTTGGTAACATTAACAATGAAATATAGTCGTATAATGTGTGATAAAATTTGGAAAATGTGGTAAAATTTAGTGATTTAATCATGATACCGTAAAACTTAGCATAAAATCATTTAATCGGTTAAATTTATTTTTCAATTTCGTATTTTTTTCAAAATTTGTGGTAAAAAGAACTATATTTTGAAAAACAGAATTTCCGGTAAATCATTACCATGTAAACGGAAAAATTACTAAATGAATGGTTTAAATATCGTATATTTTGTTAAATAACCAAAATTATGTGTTTTTTTTTTTTTTTTTTTTTTTTTTTTTTTTTTTACCAGAAATTTTAATACCGTACAGTACGATAACTTAATCAGAATTTTTTCCCCGAGTAATATTACTTTATGTTGCGAGGATTGAACAATTAATGTAAAAATAAGATTTAAGTGCAATAAGCGTTAATTGATGCTTTGATAATGCCTCATTATGATGTTTTTATGGCTATTACTGTATTATTATACTCAAAATAGTTATAGAGGAAATTCCTTTCATTGATAATAAATTTTAAAAGAAAGCTATTTTAAATATATAAACTATTCAAACTCTTTGCTTTTTAAATAAATAAATTACTAAACAACAGCTCAGTGGTTAAAGTCACTGATCTATCATTGTGAAAAACTGAGGTTCGATCCTCAGTGAGAGCTAAAAAAATTTACTTTTCCATTTTGCATTTTTTAGTAAATGCGTGGTAAAGAGAACTATAATTTTGAAAACCAGAATTTTAGGTAAATCTTTACTATATAAACGGAACAATTACCGAATGAATGGTTTAAATACCGTATATTTTGTTTTCAGCAACCAGAATTCTGTTTATTTGTTGTTGTTTTTACGAGATATTTCGTTACCATACACTACGGTAATTTTTCCATAATTTTTTTAGTTCGTAAACACAGCAGTTTGTTAAATTAAAATAAGGTATGTCATTTTCCAATGTTTAAATAGCTATAAGATCTGTGTTCGTATTTTCTATATGAAGTATGCTAAAAATTGATTTTAAATCAGTACACAATACAATTAATTTTAATATGTAGACACACTAATTTGAGAAATTCGATTACAATTGTAGTTTCTTAGTGTTAAAACAAAAGAGAATCTTGAGTTTATATTTTCTATCTCTCAGTGCTTTCAAATCTTAAGCAATAATATCAAATAATTTAACCATAAAAACTTACTAGTTCGTTTAATTTGATAACAGTTGTCATTTCTTAATGCATATGAGAGAATTCTGAATTCATATTTTTTTCTATAATTAATTTGTTAAAATGTGCTTTCAAATGTTATACAATATAATAAAATAAGCTTACTGTGAAGACACTGGTGGTTAAATTTGATTAAGCTTATTGATTCTTAAGGTTGACATGTTAGAGAACTCCATATTTCTATTTGCTACAATCGATGTCTTAAAAGTGACTTCAAATTTTACACAACTTACAAACTTGTGTTGAGGAATAATTTTTTTTACTCAAAAATTGTCTTAAGTCTTATTTTAATTAACAACAAAACCTAACTAACAATATGATTAACAACAACACCAAAAAAACACCGTTTTCAGATTAGTTTTCGCAAAAACGTATGTTCCCCCCTTTTTTTTGTAACACTTAAGGTTTAGTTTCTCAAATGGCCTTTCAACAAGTCAAATTTAAAGTCTGTACCTGCATTGTTGTACAAACTGAATTGTACCTGCATTGTTGTACAATTAGTTGTACAAACTGAATTAGTGACAGACTGGTTAAAAAGTTCCCTTTAACTTATTTTTATAGTTTATAGATAATTATAAAACAATATCATTATACTGTATTATTAAAATCAATAAAATTACAGTAATGATTTCTTTTGTCTTTATGTTGAATATTAAAATAGTAAGAATAAAAAGCTTACTTGATAACAGATAGCTTCATTTTACAAAAAAAAAGGTTAAATATAAAATAATTTGATGAAGTCTAAAATATGAAAAAGCAGCCTTCTCTCGAGTTATATTCATCCCTTAATGAAACTAAATTAGTAAGTTATATTTTAATTTAAAATAGCTATAATTTCACATTTATTAATAGTGTGAATCATTATGAATACTTTTATAAAAGTAAAATTTATTAGTTTTAAGTAATTTGCTTACCATAAATAATAGTAAAGCTTCAATATTTTTTTATAAATAATTTTGTAAAAGTAATTTAGTAATGTAAACTTTATGAAGCAGATTTTTTGAATCCGTAGATTTCATTATCTAATTTTACAAAAATGCTTCGTCCATAAATAATGATTAACAAATTATGCCCGAAAGTTATTCTATTTACATTAATAAATGATTGATAATACATAGCTATTTAACGAAGCCAATATCATACATGTAATATTTAAATTTTAATCCATATAGGAAGAAAAAAAAACTTTCTTTTTCCTGCCACTGTTACTAACCCATCACCATCTTCTTTTTCTTAATCGTGATTTTCTAAATAAATAAAGTAAAAAAATAATAGTAAAAATATGTTCTTAATTTTGTTTAAAGAATTTAACGCTTATGTATAAGTAATTAATTTATCAACTGGCACATATGAAAAAAATAAAATACTTAGAACTTATAGAATAATAATTATACTTATAGAATAATTATATTTATAATTATACTTATAATTGTACTGATAATTATTCTTATTGTACTGATTGCTATACTTATAGTACTAACTTATTATACTGATAATTATGAGGAGTAATAATAGAACTTCGTATGAAAAAAATAGAATATTTTTGATATCTAAAAAATGCTTACCAAACGATTTCTTTGCAGATTTTGTTTTCTTTTAAAAATCACATAATTAGACACTTGTTTAAAACGTACTCTTATGAACCCAAGTTAATCTGTATGAAACAGCGTATAATTAACAACAATGGTGAAGTTCACAGGTGGAAAATGAGAAGAGATTCATTTGTTGTCAACACAAAACAAACTCACTCAAAACTTCTTCACGTGTTCTGGACAACCTTGTTCCCTGAAGACGAGACCAACAAATGATTCCGCCTTCTCTTGGTTTCGCTTGAGCTCTTACCAGTATCGTCTGCTCTGAAAGAAGGGAAACTGGCAACAAAAGACCTACATCGTTATGGGGAAGATTTATTAATAAAAAATTGTTATTCTTTGGTTTATTTTAAAATGAGTTCTTTTATTGAACAAAGAAATTTAACTATTTTCTAACGTTAAATTATTTTTTTTTATAGTTTAATTTTTACTCTATATAAAAAAATCGTAAATTTGATTTTTAAATTTTGTACAAGAATAGAATAGTTAATTATCAGGCATGTTGATGATAAATGAATTTCTTTTAAAATTCTTTTTAAATTTTTTTTTAATAGGACGGTATGTTGTTGTTTTTTTGTCATTTTTTTTTCAATTTTTTAGATCTTGTTACCTGTCTTAATAGTTTTTGAAATGAATTTTAAATGATATTTCTAATTTTAAGAGCATTTTGTTTGTACATTAAATTTTCTTTTTAATAAATTAGAGTAAATTTTGCATTGAATTTAAAGAAATGAAAATTTTCTTTTTGGGCTAATGGAAATTTTTAAATTTTAAAACTGTCATTGAAAAAAATTATAATACAAAGCAATTTTGTTGTTCTTCAAGATTTTAACCAAAAACTAATAAATTCTCATTTTTATCAGGCATTTAATTTTGATTTTGTTTCATTCATAAATTACATAATTATTTTTAAATTTTATCTTATTTTCATTAAATTGTTTTTAAAAAATTTAAAAATCTACATTAAAATTTGATAAAAAAATATACAAATATTTTTAATATTGCCTTATTTTTAATTAAATTATTTTATAATAATAATAAATACAAGTTAAGATTCATAATTTTTTTCTAAAAAAACCTATAGTAAAATATATCATTCATTAGAATATTAGTCATTTTAATGCCAAACAAAATCTTTGTCATTTTAATGCCAAACAAAATTTATCGTCAATCAGAATTCCGACTAGCTAGAGTAATCAAATCGTAACCTGAACTCTGAGCTGGAGGATAATACAAGTTTAAATAATTTTAACGTTTTTGTTTACTGGATTCATTTTAATGATATTTTTTGTTCTTCTATTTTGCTGTTTAAATAAAATTATTCGTCAAGGGGTCGTGTCCTTAATTATCCCATTTTTATAATTCTGTTTAGATTATTTCTTTTCATTTATTTATTTATTCTAGCTGCATTAAAAGTGGACAAATGCTAAGTATGTATAATTCTAAAATAAAAAAAAAATTAATGCATTAGCAATCTCTTTTTGAAAAGTTTGTTCTATCCTTAATTATGAATTCTATTAAGCAATGTTATGTATCTCATTTGTAGCAAAATTTTTTGCTTCCAGAAAGGAAGAAGAAAAAACTACGTTTTTTTTTCCTTCTTAAATTGAGTTAGTGTGATTTTCTTTTTTTTCATTTTTGCAATAATTATTAATGGAGGCGTCATATTTCTAGCTATCCCATTTTTAGAATTCCATTCGGATTATTTCATTTCATTTATTTATGCCAGACTGTATTAAACGAAGGTAAATAAGTTTCAATAATTCTAAAATGAATGAAAATTAAATTCAGAATTAAAAATTTAGTTGCTTTTCAAGTTCTTAATTGAGAAATATTAAAGTGGGAACTCAAGAACTGGTTTTCAAATTCGATGAACTCTCATAAATTACTTCATTGTTGAACCATAATTATGGTGCATTGAATCATAAAGCAGTGCATATTTGTTAAAACTTTATTAAAATGTTAAACTGAACCATGCTTCCATTCAAAGTTCATATCATCCAATGAAGTTTAAGATATGTTCGATAGTATGGTCCTCTTTAGTTCCTTACTAAAGTTGAAAAAAAATTTGAATTATATGGTTCAACATCGTTTCTAAAGTTTTAACAGTTTAATTGTATTATTTTATCATGAAAATGGGTAATTTAACACGTATTGGTTTATTGCGCCTGATTTGTCTTTATATAACAAAACTCAATGGCACAAAACTGTTTTCTATCGTTGTTGAAGCGTTCTAATTGGTCAGGAATTCATATGGTATGACCTAGTTTTGTTACAAAAAGATCCAGATTTTTAGAGTAGTAATCAGCCAAAAATTAATAAAACTTTATAGTACATTATTTACCTGAAAACTATTTCTTTAACCCTAGTTTATTTATTTATCATACTTTCTCAATATTCTCTTGTATATTTGATTTTGTTTATTATTCCAAGTCGAAGACATAAAATTAAAGACGGTGTTTTATTTATTATAATGTAGTACTATGATAGTTCCTTAAGCCTTGTGATATTATTTTACATGATTACCTAGTGATAATATTTTATGATTACCTAATGATATTATTTTATGACAAGCATATTTGTAATCGGTAAAATATTAGCCAACCGGTTTACAATTATTAAACTGTCAACAATTTATATTTATTTAAATATTGAGATTTGTGTTAAACTCTGTCCAGTCAACATATGCAATTAAAACAATGAATACAAAATTATAAAACATTATGAGGAATTTACGTTATTAAGACACTATTACTAATAAATCTCTTTGACCAAAAAAAGTTTCTGATTTTTTTAATGACCAAAATATTAAATTGAAATTAAACTTTTTCGGTCCTACCGGGACATATATGTCCCTCAGACGAAAACAGCACTGGAACATATGTGTCCCGTCTAAGAAAACCGGTGGGACATATATGTTTCATCCCACCCCCGCTCCCCCCAATTGCCCAAATAGTTTTTTTTTATTATTTTGGCAGAATATAGTTATTTTTACATTATTTGATTTGTTAAAGTATTAATTATAATGTAGTACTGGGATAGCTCTATGTAGCGCTATGACTTTTTATTGAAAAAAAAAAACTGGTCTTGAAAGGTTTAAGAAACAAAATCGTAGAGAATTAAGAAGGGTTAGGTTTAAATTTAATTCCCACAAAATCGAAAATCAAATCTATGCTAATACAACTAATACAACAAAACATTATGGAATTGAATACATTTTTTTTATTTGGAGGAAACAATTTATTTGTTTATAGTAAAGAAACAAAAATTTTTTGTAGCAATCGTCGGAATCAGTGAGCGAAGCGAGTAGGAAACTAAATTTTTCAGTTTTATTAAGCGAAAACTGAACTCAACTATTTTTGTCTTATAGCACAGATTAAATTTGTACAAAGTACCTTTACAGGTAATCAGATCTTCCTTTGTGATTCCTTGAAAGTCTAAGCTTCCCTCAACCGAAAAGCACCTGTTGCGTTTTGGAGTTTCTTCAAGTTTGCAGTTGAAAACACCTTTCAGTAGGCCCCCGATAAATAGAGGTTACAATGTATAAGCTCTAGATGTCGGAGAAGTTTTGCACGCAAGTGGCATGGGGTACAATTGCCTTAATATCTCTGCCCATACAATCGGAAAGAAAATAATAAATAAATAAAAAGCATTGCAGGTATAGAATGATGTCAAAGAAAATAACTCTGAGAGCGATTTTGCTCATTCTTTTTTAAAAAAAATTTGATATATCTCGACTTTAAAATCTAATATCGAAAAGTTATAATAAATAAATAAAAAGTTTCGATACACGTAATTTAAATTTTTGAAAACTTCAAATTTCAAGACTCTCTTCTTATTTAATTCATTTATTATTATTTTTTAAAGATTTTGTTTCTTTCTAAGATATCTTTACTTTCTAAGACTTTTTTTATCTCACTTTCTAAAACCATCTTTTAATATACAAGCTCGATACAATAAACCGCTATGGAGCTATTTTACAAAGTACATTATTATTAAAACATTTACATTTTATTAAAAATTCTCAGTAAGAATTTAATTTTTTTTATTGCAAGATATTCTTGTAGCAATAAAAAAATAATTACTCTTGTAATATGAACAATGCTATTCTTTTTTCTAGATTCCATTTCTTTTTTGTCAGTTTATATCCACGACTATGGGATTCGAAAGTAGATAAAATGGATTTTCTTATATTCTATTAATCCTGTGCAAGACAGTTAATCCCCATACCGATTTAGAATTATTAATTTCGTATTATTCTTAAAATTTTACATCTTATTGAGAAAGAGTTTTATTCGTGTGTTTTGAACGTTGTTTCAGGAAAAAAAATTATTAGCAGTTACAATTAGAGCCCTATATTTCATTTAAGAAAATGGTTCAATAAAATTTGGAGAACAATGAATGCATGTTTTTTCTTTTCTTTGTAAAACGCATTTCAAAAGACATCTCAAAAATGACTTAATAAAAGTGAGTTAAGATTTAGATCGATCAAGCAATTCCCCTTATAAATCACTACATATAAGCAAATAGCTATTTTTTTAAAATTCCTAGTGGATTATTTAACTTTATAGAAATAAGTTCCAAATAAGTAACTCTAATTTGCAATTTGAAAATCAAAAATGAGTCAAACTAACTTTGTGAGAAATATTCATCTTTTGCGTGTAACTACTGAATGGGCAAATCAAAAATTCTGAATAATGTAAAGATTGGATCAGTTCCTAGACACAGAGCTTCAGCACGCCGCACCTTACTATTCTGACGATGGCGTTCGAAAACAAACTGAAAAATTTAATCGGTTTTCAGAGTGAAGATATTCTTTCCTTCTCTCTTTGTTATAAATAAGCGATTTTGAGTAGAATTCAAATGTTTTACAAACAGACTTTTGATTTTAATACAAAATATTTTCCAATGCTGCACCGGCAATATTTTTTTGTTACTTTCTTTAACAAAATAAAAATTTATGTAAAATATACATCTAGAAATTGAGAATTTGATTAGTGCATTTGAAGTAGAATGATCAAACCACATTCAGTAAGAATGTTCCCTAAGTTCGTAAAAACCGTGAATCGTAATTTATTATTCTTCAAGATTTTAACTTTTATTTTATTGTTGTTTAATTTTCGGAGAGAAATATTTAAAATATTGATTCACATGAAAATTATAAATTGAAAGAATCGAAAAATCAAGCGTTAATTGATAAAGTTCTTCTAAAGTTGAAGAAATTTGGAGTAGACTCCAAAAGCTCCGTATCGTGGAACAAAGATTG